ATGATTGGCCGGGTACCACATGGTGGCGGTGGGCCTGATTTGGTTGGACTCCCCCTTCACTTCCGTGGTTCTTTCCCTTTTCCTCGATGTCGGGCTATGGGCCAACCCCTCTCCTCTTTTCAACGCCTCCACCTCCTGCTTGAGACTTTCAATTGCCTCGTCTTGGTCTCCAATGATCCTAAATAGATCCTTCTTGGTAATTGAGGCGTTTTCCGAGTATGGGTGCCTCGACTCACTCCCCTCTTCCCCAGTTTCGCTAGGCGTCTGTTCCCTCGATCCTTGGGATGACTCCATCGTAACTTGTTCTTCCTCCCCACTTCCGGGTGCCTCCATTCTTCAAGTTTTCGGTATCTCCCCCTTCCTGGCACGCAAATTGTTTGAGCCAAAATACTACAACCTGTGATTCCCCGTGATCCCAAGTCCTTCTCGTCACTACGAGGCACACAAGTGCACAGACGGGCCCGTTAATCCTCTGACGATTAAATTAGTCTGAATTATAGAGAGAAGTGTCAAACTCTAGTTTTGTGAGAGAATCTGTCCGCATAAATGCCACCTACCGACACTATTTATACTCACCCAATCCTCGACAGGGCTCCTTCATTTCAGCCCTACTTCGGCATGGCATTTAATGCTTCGTACCTTCCTTAGACCAGGCGCCCCAACAGACATAACAGTCTTTGTTACAAGTCTCAGACGCTCCGTGGGAGACCATCGACAATCCGTACTACTTTAGAGCCTAGCAAGGCTTGTCACTATGCGCCCCCTATTTCTGCTCCCCTTGGCCTATTGGATCAACCCACCTTTTTGGGCCCAAATATGGGCTTATCCTATGGTGGTACTTCCCACTATTTTATGAGGCTCTTGCTTGGGCTTGCTTCCTTGTAACACCCCAACACAAACAAATATTCCAACTTAAGACAAAATAGATTTGGGCCATTAAATAAAATTAAGGAAAAAGTTATGTTACTGACCAGATCCGTTGTTTGGAAAACCAGGGTGGGCAAGCGAAAGTGAAAAAGGTAAAAAAGAGGATATGCGGTCTTATCCAATTAACGTAGAGAGTTCCTAAAATGGTTATGTAAAGATGATGAGTACTCAAATAAATATTGAAGGGAACGAGTTAATAAATTTTGTTCATATTCAATTCTTATTTGTATTAGATTTATTATCAAAACTACGTTTTTAAATAGATATTTAGGAACAAAATTGTAAGATACAAATATAAAAAAGACCTTTGCAGGTCAAATTTTAAAAAGAGTAAAACATGTTAATCAACAAGTTGTTGAACCATCGCTGAGAGGTAGGGGTGGGAATTCGGTCGGTTTGGTTTCGACCGAACTGGAATTAAGTATTTCGGATCTCCGAAATAGCTCATGTAGCAAACCAAATTTGAACCGAAATATAATTCGGTTCGGTTTCAAGGCTCAAACGCGAAAATTAAAAGGCAAATACCCAAGCCTATTTACCCTATCTCGCAGACTTTGAGCCCCCAATAAAAATCCCTCCACACCTTCTCTCTCTAGTCTCTTTTCCGATAACGACACAACGACAATGGCAGCGATGATTGACCGAGATAATGGTGCGACGACAACAACAATTGATGTCGTGATGTTGACGAAGATACTGATAACAACGCGGCGGCATGCAGCGGTAGCGGGATGCGACATCGGCTGTAGCATCGCCTGCATGTGGTCGACAGCGACATCGGCTGTAACATCACCTGCATGTGGTCGGTGACGACACGATTGAAGAGGAGGAAAGCTCCCCCACCGCCAAGGATCCCTTGCAGGGCCAGGATCTGTGCTCTCCGCCGAAGATCCTTGCACTTCCCTCAATCTACCTTCTCTTCCTCTCGACCTATTCCTCTTCTCTTTTGATGCATGTTAGTTTTTATGTTCAGATTTTGGTTTTCTAGATTTTGCTAGCCTGAGATTTCCTTGTTTGGTTGATTTTCTTGGTTTAAATGGTAGGCATAGGGCGGGGAGAAGAGAACGGAGAGAGGGGAGATCAGACAATGGCTCCTTCCGCCGGCAAGGTCGTTGGGAGATCGATCGGCCAGGAGGATGTGGATGGGTTGCGGCGGGCGCCCTTTGAGCTTTGACGACTGTTGTAGATGGAGTATGGTTGTCAGGGAGTGGGCTTAGGGTTGTGAGAGGGTGGGTTGTGAGTGATTGGGTTATGAGAGACTGGGCTAGGGGAGTATGGGTTGTGAGCAATGTAGTCAAAAGCGATTTTCTACGTAGAAACGTTTTGGTGATCTAGAAGCGTAAAATCGTAAGTATTTAAGTTTTAAATCGGAGTTTTTAACTACGTAAGTTAAAAAAATGAGATTTTGTGTAGAAGCGTTTTAGTGACTTAGAAACGTAAAATCGTAAGTTTTTAAGTTTTAAAGCGCGATTTTGACTACATTGACTTTGAGTGTGTGGGCTAGGATGGTTATTGGGCTTGGGCAGCAACAATTTGGTTTTTTGGTTCAAAATTTGGAACCTCGGTTCGGTCTAAAGAACCCTGGTTTCGAAGTTGACACATTTCCTTTTCGAATTTTGAACCGAATAGCAATAATTCTTTTCGGTTCGGTTCAAATCGGTTTTGGTTCGGTTCGGTTTGGGTTTACCGAACCGTATGCCCATCCCTATTGAGAGGGTATGTTTTGCCATGATACCGGAAGCCCTATTGTACCTACGAGGTGCGAAGTGAATTGTTGCATGCCGTAGAGACGATATCAACACCTGAACTTCTCTAAGAATGACACCTCGCAAAGCATGGGGCAAATCATTCGCGTTGACCGGTTGGATGCTATTTGTGCATCACCACAAAAAAGTGCATTAGTGATTGAATGAGATAACGCTGTCGCATTGCATCTCTAAGAACCATTACTTTGAGGAAGAAATTATCTAAAACGTCGACATAGTAGCACTTGATGTGCAATATGTAGTAGTATTGCAATAAAAGCAATAAAATCTTTCTTACGTTTTTCACCGGTCTTTTAATGGTACCGACATTTAAATTAACTACTTATGCTCAAGTAATCAATGCAAAGAAAAGTAAATATGATGGGTTGAGGTTCCCTTGGTAGTTGAATTTCTACTCCAAATAAACAACGTAAGCAAAAAAGGCAATAAGCAAAGATAAAAGCAAGAAAAGAACTATTATTTAGATAGTGTCATCTAAATGATCATGTATACAATCTCATTAATAACATGCATCTATGCATCTTCCATCATGTAACACTATCCCTTCCACTAAAGCATTCTTACCCGAGCTTTTGCCACAATGCGAGAAGAACTACAACTAGCCAATGCTTGCTTTCGCTTCATGCCACTAGACTAATCAAAGAAACAGGAAGTAAGGATAACACATTAACTATTTAGGACCTTTAAGAACCACAATAGTAGTCTATAACATTGATCCCGCATATGCATGCATAGTCTCATTCAACTACATACATACACGAGGCAATGCATATCATACCGATGATGAAGGCATCTCCATGAAACTCTGAGTGAATTTGCCTCCTACTATGGTTGTTACTCGAGCCCACTAGGGCAGAGTGTGTATACAAAGTGTGTAAAGCTCTTAGCACAAACCTCTAGTTTTACAAATAACATTAGAGAGAAAATTGTCTACAAATAAGTATTTCTTCGGCCAAAAGGAGAACTTCCCAAACTTGGATTTCATTGAAAGTCGGTGGGAAGCTTCTAAATGGTTCCATTTAGTTGAATTTGGACGTGTTCTAACCACGACACACCAATTTCGCACATCGTTTTGGGCATCTGGTACTTCAAATGGGCTAAATTTTGGTGGACCGATTTCTCATTCTTTCCCTAGGCTGCTTGTCAAATTTTAGGTCAATTAAACTTCATTCGATCCAAACAGCTTTCATAAATGTGCAACTCTGGGCCATCAGATGAACATTTTATGTCCAAATCCATCTATGTTTGAGTCCATGAGATTGTATTCTCGTACTCTTTTGATCCACTGATGATCCATATTCCTCTTAAGTATATTATATCCCTAAAATGCACAAAATAACACCAAAAGACATAAAATAGTACAAAAAATACTCAAGGTCTATCATAGGCACGTTGATCAAATATTTATGATATTAATATGAAATATAGCAAAAACTACTCAAGATGCTTCAATAGAAGGGAAAATGTAAAAAATATAGTGATAAACAATATATTTTGAGCGTCCTCAAAAATACTCCACACTTGAACTTTGTTTGTCCCCAAACAAAACAACAGCACGAGAGAATGCTAACCATATCAACATGCATGAATAACAAGATACTCATCTCTATCATAAACCACCAAACATACATGAGTATGAAAACCATGGTTGTCATGCCAGCCGGAGTGCCACTGGTTGAATCTGGTTCAACCTGTACGGGTCATAAAACTGGTATGAAACCATCGGTATGATCGACATGATCGATATACGAATCTCCAAGTAAAATGATATTATCTTAGTGAATTTAATTGATAAAAAGTAATTTATTATTTAATTTATGTGTTAAAAATTTAAATATTGATGTTATTTGTTGGATTCAAGTTCATATATTTAGGTATTGACGTTAACTGTCGTGGTTAATATGAGTATTTGAAAATTATTTGTAATATTAACTGGCATGAACCGGCACAAACCGGTTTGACAACCTTGCTCAAAACACATAGGGTGAACCTTTCGAAAAATAATTTATAATTTTGAAATGCTTTTACCATATTTTCAAATGTCTTTTTCCCTTTTGATAAACATATATTTTTCGATTTTCCGACTTATCTCATAACTATTTTTTTCTTTCTTCTCAATCTACCATCTCAATGAAATGATTGACTTATTTAATATCTTACTTCCCTATCATAACAAAAATCACAAATTGATGATCACACCTCATGAGTCACTTGGACCAAATTATTGGATCCACACCCCCATTTTACCATTTCTTTGGACAATTTAATACTTATATATACATATCTTTCCCCCACAAAAAACCACAAGAACGAAAACCAACTTGGTAAGCGGCCCAACAAAAGGGAGGTGGGGAGAGTTGTGGTTGTGGACACCCTCTTACCTTGCCAAGTTGTTTTCTTCTCCCTCTGCCCTCTTGCTGGTGCTGTTGTTGGCATTTGTAGTAGTAAGTTGTTGTTGTGGCGTGCTCTTGTGAGAAGCGGTGAGGTGTGCTTCCTGCTGTTTCTTTCTCATTCACTTCCCCCATTCCATTCATATTTTTATTACATTTTATTTAAAGATATAATCTTTGGGTTTTGTTGTGCTAGCTAGTGTGTTGTGTTTTGCCTTGTCTTGCCTAGCTAGGAGTGGGGTTAATAGGTAAAAAAAAAAAAAACAAAATTCAACAAATAATAATTAATATGAATGTGAAGAATCCAATAAATATGTAAATTAATTAAACAAAAATATAATTTTTACTCTTTGCCTTTCAATCTCTTTCCTTGTGCAGTTTCTTGCCTTGCCTTTCCTTGCTCTTGCCCCCCCACCCCAACCCCTCATATCAATCTTCTCCTTCTCCTCTTTTCATTTCTCACCCTTTTTTCCCTCCCCATTATCCCTCTCCCAATCTCTTCCTCTTCCATTTCTCTCTCTAGCTCTCTCTGTCCCTTGGGCCTGTTGCTTGCGATTCCATTTTGGTGGGCGAGGGGTGTTTTTTGGGCGTGCCGTTTTCTCCCCTCTTGCTTCTCTCCTCCGGCTTCCAGGAAGGAAGAGAGAAGAAGGTTAGACGACGAACAAGGAGAAGAGACAGGATTCCAGCATCTCTGTATCGGCTTCTTTCGTGCTCCTGCGCAAGAATATTTTCTGGGTTTTCTTTGCCCTTTTCTTTATTTGGTTGGGTGTTAGAGCTCTCTGATATTTGATTGGGTGTTGGCCTTCTCCTCTTCAGATTCTTTTAGATCGGTCGGAGTTTCATGCTCTCCCTTTGATCGGTAAGCTGTTTCCCCTCTGCAGATTGTTTTACTTAGCTTGATCAGTAGGCGGCGGTAAGGTCGGATTGAGATGGGTTTTCATATGTGGGTTCTCTTTCTTCTCAAATGTTTCAGTATTTCCCCTCTTTTTTGGTTATTATTAATATAAAAATTATATTAAAAAAAGAATTTGCTCTTCAAAATCTCTGATAGTTTTGGTTTCTGTTTGTGGTACTAGTTTTCATCTTTCATTATCGTTAAGGAACTAGATTTCAGCCCCATCAGAGCCCTTGTTTCACCAGGCGAAGTGGCTCTGGAGAACATTTCAAAGAAATTCAACGACAGAAAAGAACTTTTCAAAGAAATGAATCTGCTTTTGTTGGATGCATATGTGTTGTTTGTATCGGCTGATTGATGGGGGCTTCTGTTTGTTGATTGTGAGAAACAAAAATCCGATGGCTTCTCTCAACTTCATTTCCCCTGGCTCCTTTTGAGTATTTCTCCAGTAGATTTCCAATGTCTGGTTTTCTTTAGTTGTTACTTCGGTCACTGTGTTCTCTATGTGCCTTGTGGCTTCAGTGCTGAGTTTCCCCATTGGTTAAGTAGGGGCAGTATGATTTCGCATAAAAGATGCGAACTTTACTTGCCGGGCCCAAATGTAATCACCTTGGTGTTAAGTAAGAGCTCCTTGGAGTGAAGGGTAGCTTGTCTCGACATATGGGCATTGGGTTTACTTGTTTCAGCTGGTGTTTCATATTAGTTCTCTGCCCTTATTGAATGTGTGCTGCTCAATGAAGAGAGTCTTATATCTAGCAGCTAACCTGGCTTTGGTTCAAATCCTTGGGTGATGTTACTGTGTTGTGAAGCATACTCTTCCCTGGTGCAGTGCATCATGTGCTGTGTTCTAGCATTGTGAAAATGATAAAATTCTACTGTGGTATATGAGTTTTTTGTTGTGTTCCTTAAGAGGTGTCTCTAATTACTGGATTCTCTTTTCTTGTCAGGTCTTCAACTCAATCAATTTACTCTGGGTTTTCCTGATTCTGTCCGCCTTCATTTATATAACATATTTAGCCCCAATGCAAGGGCAGAGGGGTGTAATTGGCTCCTTGCCAGAGACTTTGGACTTCGACCATGGATCAGCTTCGGGTAATCCCATCATGGACCAGCAACTTTGCTGGAACAACATTAGAACTCCTTCAGAAGAGCGATTATCAAACTTCATGCTGTCTCCAGTTCAAATGAATACATATGCAAATCCAATTGACCATGAACGCCAGAACTTGAATCGGTGGAGCCTAGGCGAACCGAGTTCTGGCAGTGCAAGAACAGACAGAAGTCGAGATAAGCAGAAGATGGAACATGGATCGTCATCTTCTTCAGCAGCAGCAGCAGCAAGCATGTCTGCTGATCCTAGCTCAAGGTTAGAAGAAAGGCGTCATGAACCAACCCATATGCTTTCATTGAATAGTGTCGATGTGAATGCCCAGTTTGTCCACAGCTCCAATGCCAATGGATTTCCCCAGAATCTGAACTTGAATGCAGGGTTGGTGGGCCAGGGTGATGATTCTATGGGAGGGCACAATATGATATACACGTCTAGTGGTGCAGAACATGCTGTTAGTGGTAGTGAAGATTTCCTTCTCCCTTCCGGAAGTGGAGGATACCTGAGGGAAGATGATGGCAGACCCGGTTGTTCATTAGATGGGCGCCGTCAATCATGTAAAAGAAAAGCAGTGGAAGGACATGGGCAGTCCTCTAATGGTTCTAGTTTGTTTCAGCATCCAGAGGGTAGTGGTGCATGGCCAGGTGTTCCTCCCCGTCAGGTCAGCAGCAGTTTGAGTATATCAGCTGCTGCACCACCTGAGCACCATGTACACCCCAGACTTGTATTAGGTATGAGAGGTCTAGGTACTGAAGGTCTTGCTGATCCCATGCCATCTGGCGGAAGCTCACGACAAAGAAATTTTCGATTGAGGATAAATCCCTCGGATCAAGAATCTGTTCCCTCTTCATTGTTTTCTTCTGGCGGTATTGTTAGGCATCACTCGTCCAGACATAATATTCCAGTTGAGAATTCTTTGGAATTTAGGTCTTCTCCGTCTGCTGCCGAGGCTCCAATTTCTCAAGTTCAGCCAGCTGTTATTCCGGTCACGGCTTTGCCACACAATGTGCCTCCATTTAGGTGGAGAGAAACTTCTGGCTCGAGACCTGGTAGCTCATCAGGTGGTCCTATTGATTTGAGCGATAGAGAGGAGGGAAGCTCAAGAAACACTGCTAGGCAATTATGGGAACATCCTATGTTTGTACCTGCAACAGAGCCGAGAACTTCTGCTAGAAATCAGGGGAACAGGAACAACATAGCTGGTGGAAGTATTAGTGTTCCTAGTAGCAATTTTGCTTCTTCTGCTGCATCCCGGAGTGGTGGATCGAGTTCAGCTGTTCATTTGTCCGCTCCAACTTGGGTACCTCATCAAAATTCTTCTAGAAACTCTAGACGATTGGCAGAGTATGTTCGGAGGTCATTGTTCTCTTCTGATGCAGCTGGTGGTGATCCTGGAACTCAGAGCAGTAATAATAATAATTCTTCTGCCGCAGCAGAGATGATTATACCTGCTGGAACTAGTAGTAGCCAGGGGCATCATCATCGATCGCATCCAAGATCAGCACCATGGCTTGAGAGACTGGGTGGTGATGGTGTCCTTAGAATCCCTTACCCCTTGCGAACTTTTAGTGCCTCTGGGGAAGGTCGCAGCAGGCTTGTTTCCGAGGTTTGTTTGAGAACCCTTTTTCTTATGCTTTGCGATTTGGATGACCCATTTACTACTCACCCTGTTTTTTTCACTTTCTTGTGTCTCTTATAGTTAGTTCATATACTAGGTAGTTGGCAAAGTGCCAAATGAACCATATCCTCTCACTTGCTCTTTTAACTCATGTTCTTCTATTTATGGCGTTCCACTTAGCTGCTTGTATCCTGGATTTGGCACGTGGTCTACCTCTTGGTGTTACTAACGCGTGCATTAGACTGTAGTATTCATCTAACACTGTTTTATTCATCCTATAATTTATTGTGGCTTTAACAGCTATGTTCATGTCCAGCTATTGTTTCAGCTGTTATTTACTGAACAGCGAATTTGTGGAACTTATGGTATCGTTTTTTATGTTTCTGTAGCAGATACGCAATGTCTTGGATCTCATGCGGAGGGGAGAGGGCTTGCGATTCGAGGTTCGGTGTCTTGTCACTTTCTTCTTAGTAGTGTTTGTTACTAAACACATAATCGAGAGAGTTACATGAAGGCATTATGTACAGATACTTTGTCCATTAAATGGGATGTTATGGGTTCAAATTCTGAATGAGGCATAACTGTGACCTATCAACAAAGTGAAGTCCTAGTTACCAAAGCCTGCCAGTATTTATGATTTTGTAGACACTTACATTATCCACCATAAATATCGTGTCACTAAATTTAAATTCTACAGTCATGGAGAAAAATCCTGGTGACTATGTTTTTGTCGAACATCAGTCTGTGAGAGGATAGTACTAGATTCGTATTTGGTGACTAGGTCGTTGTCGAACATCAGTTGGTGACGTGAATCCAATTTCAACTCAATTACTTTTAGCATGTGTAGCTTACATGTTCTCTTGTCTCAGGATGTTATGATCCTTGATCAGTCAGTAATGTTTGGCGTGGCTGATATCCACGATAGGCACAGGGACATGCGGCTTGATGTTGATAACATGTCATACGAGGTAATATATACACCTGCACACCAGGCTTTGCGATTTATAAGCTTATAACTAGCATGTGGCTGATAATTCATCGTCCGTTTCCTCTTGGGAATATGCAGGAGTTACTTGCACTGGAAGAGCAGATTGGCAGTGTCAATACCGGATTAAGCGAAGAGGCCATAGCAGGTCGACTTAAACAGCGGAAATATTCAGCTGCAGTAGAGAGCACCACTGAGGGAGAAACAGAACCGTGCTGCGTTTGCCAGGTAAATAATGATTTCACCTGTTTGATAACAGGACACCTACCTTGGCATAGATAGACTAACTGATCTAAAAATAAACTAAACTGTGCGGATTATGTACAGGAGGAGTACAATAATGGCGAGGAGATCGGAACCCTCGATTGTGGTCACGATTTCCACACAGGTTGTGTCAAGCAGTGGCTAATGCTCAAGAACTGGTGTCCCATCTGTAAAACAACAGGTCTTGCCCCGCATAAATAAGGTACGTCCCCACAGGAAACAAAGAAAACAGATAAGAGGTCAGCAATGGCGCCCCGGTGAAAAGAAAAAGATCTGAACTTCATAACATGGCTGGAATCAGGATGCAGAAAAGAACATTTCTTTGGCATCTAACAGCTCGTTTGGTTCTCGATTGATTGTCCATGGGGTTAGGCACATTGCAGACTCAGTAGTCTTACTCTCGTAGGCAAGGAGGGGAAGCTTTAATGCATTTATTTTCTCTTCTCTCTCTCTATTATATTTCTTCTTTTGTATCTTTTATCGTTTAAAAAGATGGGGGTGAAAGGGGAGTCAGATTCCAGATAGTTGGATGGATGAGAGCAGCAGCAGCCAGCAGCTTGTAAAAGGAAATGTGAATCCAACAAGCTGCTTTTGGATTTATTCTTAAATTGGATGGGTTTATGGATGGATGACTATATTTAGTTTTAATTTATGAAATTTCTATTGGAACAGATCAATGATCCTTCATTATTGATTCATGTCGTCACTTTACTGTTTCCAATAGATCTGTGTATATTTGCTTTGTTTAGGGTTAGATATGGGTGTCGGGCTTTCCTTGTTTGACCCATTTTGGGTCAGTGTTGGTGGTCTCCTTTATGGGTGGGCAACGGGACAGGATACCCGTCCCGTTTTAAACGGGTACCCAGTCCCATTTGGAGGTCAAAATCCATCCCATATCCCAAACCCATATGGGAAACGGGTACCCATTATTCGTACGGGACGGATAACGGGTACCCATACTAACCATAAATACCCAAAGTTTAAACCACTCAAATTTTAACAAAAGTTTAAACTTAACTTGTACTTGCTTAACAATCAGAAGACACAAATCATGAACAATCACAATGCATAGAAATAAATCATTCTAAGCACCAAATTATCAAATAAGAAGTTTCATTCAACACAAATCATGAACAATCACAACGCATAGAAATAAATCATTCTAAGCACCAAATTATCAAATAAGGAGTTTCATTTAACAAAAGGGAGTAACTGTTATCTGATTTGATATCTGATCTTCCAACTCCTTTGCATTTCTCTGCTATACATGGATTAAAGACATAGATACTAAGTTTTCTCATGATAGCTAGTTAGTTACCAAGGATGTACCATGGTTCTGCACAAATAGCCGTACCTGAAGCTCTTCAGCATAGGACTGATAGTTAAAAGGCAAAATTTCCTTGTCTGCTAACTGGAGAGCTAGATATCCCCAAATGCTTGCAACTGTAGGTCAAAAAATTAAACTTGAGGTTGAGATGAATGATTAACATGTAGTTTAGCTTGCATTGACACTACATTATGGCCACTTTTCTCTTTCGGATTCAGGAGAGTTTTGTATAAGTTTCTCAGTCCAAGTAAGGCTTCAGTATGGACTGTTTGTATCCCCTCATCTAATAGAATGATTCTGTTGAGCATAATTTATACCATCTGAAAAAATAGATGGAAATTCTCCATTATTCGGCCTCAAGTTACCCACCTGCAATGTGCCTGCGAAAATTAGGGTCACCAAACTTCTCCATCCAGACAAAGTCATCATACATTGAGTGGTATACAGGGTAACCTGCATGCATTCAGCTATTGTCAGCGGGGTAGAAGGAAAAATGTAACTGATAATTTCAATGTTAAGGAATCATACACCGCTAAGGTTCCTTTAGCGATTGATGACTACTTTGAACTATGAAAATAATCTATGGTACTTCTTGGATAGGGATGAGTTTAGGCTGCATGTCACTGCAGAGTGCAGACTACAAGTATTATGTTCACATAGCGTTCTTTGTTTCTTTACTAAGAAAAGTTTCATCTTTGTGGCGAAGTGGACATTCCCTTTCTATGGATTAGAGTTCGCAATTGGGTAAAACGGGTACCCACATTACCCAAACGGGTATTTGCGGGTAACCCGCGGGTACCCATATTAGGAATGTACAATCCCAAGTCCCATCCGTTTATAATATTACGGGTAATATGGGTACCGGTAACCCTTAAAAAACGGGACGGTTACGGGTATACCCAAATACCCGTTTCCCGTTGCCCATCCCTAGTCTCCTTTTGCCGTGTTTACATAGGGATAAAAATGGAATTTAGATGACGAAATTTGTAGAATGGCAACAAAACCCGAACCCACGGGTACCCACCCGACCCAATCCGGTCAATGTGGGTAAAATTTGTGTTGACGGGTTTTGGGCTGGGTTAAGGTTTAAACCCGCTACACTATTCATCGGATTGGGTTTGGGTTTAGGTAAATCTGCCCCATGGGTAGCCGCCCACACACATATAATTACTTTCCCGGTATATTTAATATTCTAAATAATATATCTTCCTTAAACAATTAATATTCTTTATGTTTGTGGAGACATATATAATTTGTTCTTTCTAATTGTTTAGAATGAAGTTGATATTATGAAGTGGAGAGTAAAGAAACTTAGTTGACGAGGAAGAAGTTTTCAATTAATCTTATTGTTTATAGATGTTTATCTTTAATTTTGAACAATCTGTATTGATCATTTGCGGTTTGCTTGTATGCTCTAGATTGGTGTTTTTTGTATGATTAATTTGTATGTGAAAATTGATGTTAAACTTTTATTGTGAAATAAACTTGTTATTGTAATTTTTTTACCACAAAAACCCACGGGTATCCATGAACCCGCGGATACCCAGCGGGTTGGGTTGGGTTTGAGTTTTTCAAACCCAACGGGTTTTACAATTTACCCCGGGTATTTTTGGCGGATAAACCCATGAGTTCGGGTTTGGGTTTGACAAAACCCGCCACAACCCGACCCATTGCCATCCCTATATGTCATTGCTGGTGTAGGGTTAGGCATTGGAGCGAGTCAAACCGTTTTGAAAGACATCAAACCGCGGACCACACTAATAAGTTAGCGGCTTGAGTTGTGGTTTGCCCTTGAAGAGATTTGTTGTTTCGTGGTCGGTCAGTCCAAAAATTGCGGGGTGCGGTCAAAATGCTAAATCACAAAGGTTTCCTTTCGAGTTTAGAATGAGGGATATGACCTCAACCCTCTTCTTTCCTAGTCGATTATGTGACTAGCCACTTAAAGTGACAATTTCTCGAGGTTCGTTTTCTTCAACCACCGCAACTTTCTCTACATTTTCCTCTTCCTCGACAATGGTCTACCTAGAAGGAAAACTCTTCAGGTAATGAGTGTAGTTGGTAGTTTTTCGTTAATAAATTTCATAAATTTAGAAAAAAAGTAAGTGAAGGAATGAAAGAGTTGTAGTTATTTCATGGCTTCTTCCCTTTTAGATTATGATCAAACCGCTTAGTGAAGTGCACTTTGTGGTAGTATATGCGATTGCGGTCCAAGCCATACTAAATTGCTAACTTATGCGGTTTGGTTCGACCACATTAATTAACTTTTGATCCTGCATTTGGTGCGGCCGATAAACTTGCAGTTGCATGAATTTGGTGCAGTGCGGTCTGATCTCACCATTTGCCCACCCTTATATTGATGTATGGTTTGTGAAATAAAATTGGATATTATATCATACAAAGTTAGTGGAATGAAATTTAGGTGATGGTATAATCATAATTTAGTCAGTAGCATACTAGTGTAATATTGGTCAATCAGTAATATCATTCTAGACTGATATTGGTCAAAACGGTCATGTTTGTTGAGCGTCACTTTCTTTTACCCTGTGTTTGGCTAGTCCTGCGGTTTGCGATTTATGAGGTGACTTGGTACAATCGCACAATTTAGTAGGTGGATGTTGAGGGAAACAAACTGAGAACTAGGAATTGTCTTGCCGGATTCATTGTTTGTGAAACTATATGAAAGATTCTATCGGACAAATTAGTAGAATGATATCTAGAGATACGTTTATGGTTAACTAATAAAACATTATCGTTATGATAATATATTCAATCGGTAGCTAAATCTTAAAAATCACCCTATATATTGTGAATTATAGTTTGATTTCATTGTACTGATCGATGCAGATTTTTTTTTAATATGTGTGCGTACTTAACCGGCATAGTTAAAAGTAGGCATTGAGGATGATACAACATCTATTGTTACCATACATTTTATCCAGATTGAGTATTGGTATCATAAGTCGCTCTTTGCGGCTATTCTTGTGCACCTTTCTATATCTAAGAAGGAATTTATCCATTTACACTTTACGGGTAAATACAATTTAATATCCAAACCTTTCATTTTAAACAATATAATAGCCAAACCTTTTCGAAAACAATCTAATATCCAAATCGTCAACTTTCCGTTCGTTTGACTGTTAGTTGACACCTCAAAAAAGCTTTGTTTAGGGGAAATTGTCACAATATAACTTGGTTTCTTGTTTTGGCATTGCAGATGATTGGATATTTAGATATTCTATACCATCATGGTGGAGTCATGGACTTCTCGAGTTTGGAACTACGATATGTTGGTGGTTTTTCAGAGAAGATATCGATGGATATTGATGAAGTGTCGTACTTCGAACTTTTTTGAAGTGTCAACTAACGGTCAAACAGACAGAAAGTTGACGATTTGGATATTAGATTGTTTTCAAAAAGGTTTGGCTATTATATTGTTTAAAATAAAAGGTTTGGATATTAAATTGTATTTACCCTACACTTTACTACCGAACGATAAATCCTTTCTGTATGAGGGGAACCGATACGGTAGGAACGGTTTATTACCTTGAACCGTACTCAAACTGCAAATCACTAGCTCCCAAACTGGCTAAAACTGAAGTGAACATTGAGCTTGATTACCTGATTCTACTTGGGATGATAGGCTTGCCTAACCACTTTTCTCATGGTTTACTCCTAGGTTATATTGAAGTAGTTGTTCAATATTATATTTTGTTTAAGCAAGTTCATAATATTATGTTGGCAGACATGTTTAAGCTAACACAACTAGATATGATAATTGAACTCGAATTCACGGGTATCTAAATCCGACTTAACGCAATCAAAGTGAGTAAAATTCAAGGTCTGGTGCGGGTTTTACCAGCTTGAAATTGGCAGGCTGAGGTGGATTTTATCAAAACTCAACCCGCTTTCCATACGACCCACATCTACAAAGCAAAACGATATCATTTTTTATCTAATATGAACAATATGAATAATTTATGGATGTATGAGTTTTTATGACAATATAAGCTTAATAATATGGATAATTTATGGATGTTAGTATTCTTTATGGAGATATATTTATTTAAAAAAGTTTGGATAAAATTACAATGTGGGTGTTCGAAAAAATAATGTAAGGTTATGTTCGTGACCTCGTGAGTACCGTTAGATTGTGTTGGAATTTTACTTTTAATAGATATTTTACCCAATTTTTTTAGTAGGTGCACCCATTAAGTTTGATTTGGATTTGGAGAAACTCAATTCAACCCGATCCATTGCGATACCTGGACACAACCACTTAATAGCATGTAGTAAGGCAGGGTTCCATGCGGGGTCTATGATCCCACATTGCTAGTGGATACAGCGAAAACATTATTTGACTAGTTATAGCTCATCCAAAGTATTGGGCACAAAAATCAAGTGCTATGAGTAATTTTCAGGTTGTTGGCCATGAACAATATTGATTTTGTTGCTGAGCCAGAGTTGTATGACTAATCCTCAAGTTTGATGGATGAAAATCCGAGATTCCATTCAACTCCTATTATGGTAAACAGAATCAACTCACTACGGGAAAAGTGGCCTTTGGCAACACTCGAAATGTGTTGCAAGAAGTGCCGAAAGTGTTGGATATGAATTATGCAACACTTTTAGTAGTGTCCTCTATAGGTGGTGTTGTATAAAGTAATAGGTAACACTTTCGACACTTTTTGCCACAACAAAAATGTGTTGCATAAGTATACTTTATATGCAACACAATTTTACATATACAACACAAGTTTAGGCAACACTCCCATAAACATACGCAACAGTTTTTGACATGTATACCTAACATGTATAAACTTTATTTGTAACAGGATTCTGTCACAAAAGATGTACTCAATTGTGACAACCTTTTGAGCGTAACAAATACAATACACTTGTGACGAGTTTGTGTCATCACCACATGTATTTCAATATTAACAATTTTTAGTCATCATAAAATGATTCAGTTTTTTGTCGTATTTTTATCACAAAAGGATTTCTGTAACAACTATTGTCATCACACAATACAACAATGGTGTGGATTTGACTCGACACAAATACATTTTTTACATAAATTAGTCACATATATCTCATTTAGTAACAAAAATACACTCATAAAATGTTAACGAAGAGTCATGCACGCAGTTCTTCTAACTGATTCTGATCCAGTCTCGTCGGAATCATTTGCTTCATCTATCGATTGGGATCGTATCTCATCACTGTCAGAAGTCATGGATTAGGCTTGTTGTTCTTGAGTTTCCCTTACCCTTTCGGTCGAGTACACAATATGACCGGAGCTCATGATACCTATCAAAACAAAATTTCATTGTTATAAGGGACAAACGATAAGAGTGATCGCTTTAATTAGTTAATGTGTATTCTCGGAAGAAGAGCACGAAGAATAGAACTCTGAATATCGAGGAGCCCACCTACACTGAGCTGGTGTGGGAGTTCTACACCACTTTCAAGTACGACAGCAAAGCGCCCCGGGACACGTATGCAGTGACATTCAGGCTGGGCGGCTACGCCTGGGAGCTGACCATTGACGGGTTGGCCTATGCCTTGGGGATCGAGTACCACCCGTTCGATCGCCACGAGGTCGAGATCCCGCACCCGACCGACTAGAACCAGGACGAGTTCTACCGCCGGATAGCCAGGCTTGCCCACGGGTATGACTACTTCGATCCTGGCCAGACATACGTCCGCACCCTCAAGCCGCAGTGGCACATCCTGAACCTGCTCATCACTCGCTCCATCGTCCCCAACGTCACCGGCTCGCATAAGATTCCGAAGCGGGTGCTGTATGCCATGTACTCGATGGGGTACCCGGAGCACATGCTCCACTTGGGTTCTTTCGTGGCCACCACCTTCTCCCGGTGCCACGGGAAACCCAACCACCTCTACTGTGGTCCCCCTGATCACCCGTTTGGCGCGCCATTTCGACATCAACTTCCAGGGACTCCATGATTCTTCTGCACGGGGCGGCTCCACCCCCTCAGCCGGGAAGTGCTCCACAATGCACTCCTCCTGAAGACTGATGGCACCCGTACCTGGGTAGATGGGCTTTCCATGCCTCCTGAGGAGGCTGTGGATCTCGACGACGACGAGGAGGACGCTGACTACTCCGGCGAGGAGGAGGATACGGATGATGATGATGATGATGGCGAGGCCATGGATGCCGATGAGCCGGAGCCCCCGCTCTCTCCACCAGGGGAGCTACGACCACGACGGAGACCAGGGAGAGGTGAGTCCTCCTCCGGTCCTTCTGGTCCATCGACCTCCAGTCCTTCTGGTCCGTCGATGGCTTCTGGCCCGTCGATGGATTTCTTCACGGAGCAATTCCAGCAGATGGGGCTCCAGTTCAAGCAGCTCGGTCTTCAGAACCAGCAGCTCATGGACCATCAGGTTAGAGGAAGAGATTCTATCAGATTGACGGTTATAATGGGTATGGGATTCGAGTTTTTCATATTCTTCTGTTTGAGTCATATAGAATTCTTGAGTCTGTAATTTCTCTCGTGTCTTTGTTCAATTTCTTGATAGAAAAAATCAAAATAAAAAGAGTCTCCTATAAAATCAGTGGGTAGTGATCCTAGGACGGGGGCAGACCAGTAGTTTGGGAAACTCGTTAAAATTCTTGTGTCCTCTTCACTTTCTCACTGTATTCTTTATCTCTGGATTTTCTCTGAGTGCTCTAGCATTTGTTCTAATCTCTGCTTCTAAAAACCTCTGTCTAAGGAGGAAGATGAGTTACAAAAGTTTAAAGATTGGGTTTTCCTTTTGGGCTTAAGTTTCCTTTTAAGCCCACGTTGCCTTCCCTTTAAGTGTGTCTAGTCTTCCTATTGCGGGCTTGCTGAGTCTTGTGGCCACATCGAGTTACAAAGAAGGCGAGTGAATGAGAAGACCTGAAACCTTTCATTCTTTGCATCTCCTCTCGTGATATATCTATCCCAATTATTTCAAACCCCAAAATTTTCTATCCTCAATCGTATTTCAGAGTTCTCAGAATGGAATATGCTAAAGCACCTACGATGCTATGTAGGAAGATCAATGTCATGCTAATTATAGATCGCAATCACCTCTTTTAGAAATGATTTGATTGAGAAAGGATATACGTGGGGTCATAAACTTAATGAGATGACTCTAGATAGATTATAGGAGTTTGGGGATTTTTTGGTCACTTGCAACCCCACTGGGGAACCCAAAAAAAGAGGGAGAAAGAATGTAGGTCTTGGATCAAGGTCAAAAACAAAATTGCGCTAATATGCGAATTCTAGAACTCGTAGTGCGTATAAATACTAATTTAAAGAAACTTAGACCGGAATTCCTGTAGTTGGCAAGGTCTTGGAGAGGGAGTGGCTTGTCTTGAGAGAGAGAGAGAGAGAGAGAGAGAGAGAGAGAGAACTAGAGAGTAATTAATTTATCTATATATATGATGTGATCGCCTCCTTCAGAAACAATTTGATTGAGAAAGCCTACATGTGGGGCCACATGCGTAATGAGATGTCTCTAGATAGACCATAGGAGTTTGAGGGTTTTATGATCACTTGTAGTCAAGGAGGGAGAAAGAATGTAGGCCCTGGATCAAGGCCGAAAACAAATTGTGCTAATATGCGAATTCTAGACCACTTAGTGCATTAAAATGCTAATAGAACGAACTTAGATTGGAATTACGCTAGTATGCAAGTTATAGGAGAGGGAGTGACTTATCTTATGGGATGGAGTTAGAGCTAATCAAAAGAACTTAGATTGGATTTACGATAGTATGCAAGTTCTAGGAGAGGGAGTTCGAGCCAGCTGCATTTGTTCTATTCAAGCTTTGGGATATATTTATTATTCAGCTACCTTTATTTTATTCATGTTTTGGGATGTTTTTATTATCAAAATGCCTTTAGATTATTCAATATATAGTATGCTTATTGTGATTTTAGCATGCCTATTTCCTAGGATGGCCAAAAATAGAAAAGGATATAAAGATTGAAGGAGAAGAACCTATCCCCCCTCATCCTAAGGGTCCTTATTTCAGTTGGACCGAGTCTCTCTATGCTATACTCATACAATGCATACTATAGTTGGTTGAGAAGCATCAAGTGGAGAATGACAACTTCAAAAATGGAGCTTTTACCAATCTTGAAAACATGATGCACGAGAAGGCTCTTGGATGTGGGGTGAAGGTTGACGTGAACATTCGATTAGGCACAAGAAGCTGAAAAAGGACTTTATGGATGTACACTTGCTTTGTTCAAAGAGTGGTCTTGGTTGGGATGAGGCAAGTTTCACACCAATGCTTGATGATGATGCTCAATGATTTGGTGAAGGCAAAGTCCTCATAAAACCCCCTCTGTATGAACTTGTCAAATCCTACACTGAATCTTTCTTCTTATGTTGTGTTCATAGAATAGTGTGTGATAGAAAACTCATGTGTTGTCTTATTTCTTATTGTTGTCTTATTTCATCCTACGAGTTAGTGAATCTTTGAACTTTTGACACAATGTAGGTGCATATGAATATCAAGAACCTCAACATGAAGCCCTTTCTGTAATACAATGAACTTCTACATATCTTTGGCAAAACGGAACATAGGCTAAAAAAGTAATAGGTGGACTTTCAGATATGGTTGACTCTCCTCAAACAGTTGCGAACTTGGATGATATGATCCTCTTATAGATTTAGATGAACATAAGAGCACGAAAATATTGGAGGGCATTATGAATGACAGCATTGACCAACGTCTTAGGAATACTGGAGGAGAGCATGTGCCTGATAGACCAATAATTACACATGCTTTTACCCCTATTCTTGAGCCGTTTGAGAGGTTGACTCTCGTGTTTTAAGCCGATTTCACGCGAGGTTGTGTGTTTATGTCGTATTTCAGGACCCGTCGTTGGAATCGAGGCGAGGAAACGAGTTTTGGGTCTAAAGGAGCGAAGTTGGGTTGAAGTGTGCTGGAGAGCAAAAATACCCTGCCATGAGCAGAAATACCCGACCGGGTATTATCTGGCCATGACCGGGGATTTTCGGCTTGGGCGTCGTGAGAAACAGAAGGGGTCCCGGGCTGGAGGCAAAAATCCCCGACCGGAGATTATTGGCCTAGACCGGGTATTTTTCCCTGAATCAAAACGCACGTTTCAACTATACCCGGTCGAGACCCAAAATACCCGACCGGGTATCGCGACAGACAGCAGTTTTAAAGGAAAAGAAGGCCAAAGATCAAGGGGAGTCGAGTTTTAGAGAGAGAGAGAGAGAGAGCGATTCCTAGAGTGAGAAAGCGACGAACAAGAGTTCCCACGTGCCATAGCTTGATCTTCATCACCATTGGAGCCTGGCTTGAGCTTGGAGAAGTGCCGATTGACAACCAGGAGCTGAAACTCATCCTTCACAGTATGATTTCCGCGTCTGAATAAGTTTTTGCTTCTTTCTCCATGGAGTAGTTCTACCATTCATCTGGGTATGGAGAACCCTAGATTTGTATGTTAGGTCTGATTGTATGAACCCAAGTACAGATTTCATGAGTTGATTATATTCGATTGAGGCTTGAATGATTGAATGACTTGAATCCTGATCAAATTCCTGTTGTTTCTGCTTTAACCTAGAATGAGAATATCTGCATAGGTTGATAGAGCACCCTTCATTTAAGGTGGCGAATTGGTGACTTTAGTCGAGGAGCCAATTCGCT